TCCCTCTTTGAAGATGCTCTCCTGCTCCTGGCTGAGAGACTCCAGGGTCCCTTTTCCTTTGAGCTGGCAGCTGAGTCCATTGGGGTGAAGATCTCAGAGGGTTTGATGTTTCTGCAGGAAAACAGCCTTGGGGTGTCAGCCCAGGTACAGTGGAGAGAAGGGTAGAGGAGTCAGCCTTTGAGGGAGGGCAGTAGAGGCTATCAGCCTAGGTAGGAGAGAAGGGTGGAGTGAGATGGCAGGAGAGTGTTGGGGGTCACGGAGATAGTGTAGTTTATTTGGGGAGACTGAGCTTCCAGAGGACTCTGGGTGTTAGGGGTGACTGAGGTGTTAAGAGTCGGGAAGACCTGTGTGTGGGTTCTAGCCAGGAAGTGTGCGGTGGCGTCTTCCCTGTGGCGCAGGTGTTTCAGGGATGCGGAGGCCCCCACCCAGGGCCCGCTCGCACCCGCCGAGCCCCTGCTCCCCGGGAAGAGGCGGGCCGGCTCTGGACGTCTGTGACGGAGGAAGAGCGACCCACCACGGCGGTGGGCACCAACTTGCCCCGGCTGGTGAGTAGAAGGTCTGTCTGCAGGTGGGTCGTGGGCCGCGGCGGTCCAAGTGCTCACCACCCTCTCCCCCGTCTCACATTTCCAGGTGTGGGAACTCCGTGAGCGACTGGGCCGGGTGAGGGGCTTCTGGGCCGGGCTGCCCCTGACAGTGTGCGGGGACCCTCGCATGGCGGCGGACATCTCACAGGAAGCGATGCCCTGCTGGACTGGAGCGGGGCGAGGCCGGTAAGAGCCCGGTGAGCGGCGGGGCGGCGGGGCCGGCCCCTGGAGAAAGTGGGTGGTGCGGGAGCCTTCCGGCCTGCTCGGTTTACAGGTACCTGCCGCCTGTTGTCGGGGGCTCCCTGGCGGAGCAGCTCAACAACCCAGAGCTGGAGGTGGACGTCTCGGGGCCCGACCTCCCGACACGCAGACGGCGGCTGCAGCTCCGAGCAGCCACGGCCAGGATGAGAGCAGCCGCCCTGGGACACGACCTGGACCTGCAGGATGCAGGTGATTCAGCTTTGAGTCCCACACCCTTGGAAGGTGTGGTGTGGTGGGCGGGGGGAGGGGGGCCCAGGGCCCCGCCCACAGCCATTTGAGCCCCGCCCCTGGTCTCAGAGTTCCCAGACTTGCTCTTCCTAAATGTCATTCATTCATTCACTCTCTCACATGTTCGTTTAACAAGCCTTTAATGAGCGCGTACCTCAAAGGTAGGAGAGTAAACGACCAATGAGACGACCTCGTCCTTTGAGTTCAAACCTAGTTTGTTATGTGCCGTGGACTCATAGTGACCCTGTACAGGGTTCCCGAGGCTGTAAATCTTGACGGGAGCAGAAAGCCTCATCTTTCTCCCGTGGAACAGCTGGTATTTTCGAACTGCTGACCTTGCGGTTCGCAGCCCGATTCGTAACCACTACACTACCAGAGCTCCTTGTTGTTAAGTGCCATCGATTGGATTCCCATCCTGTATAGGGTTTCCAAGGAGCCGCTGGTGAGCTTGAACCACTAACTTTGCAGTTCAAACGCCTTTGTAGTCTGACGCATTAGCCCACAGCGCCACACCAGCGTTCCTTAGGGAAGACTAAAAGAATACATTCTTACAGAACAGTGGAAAGCTTTTTTTTTTTTTTTTTCTGGAAAGCGTCTTGATGTGGCAAAAAGTGCAAGGGGGAAGTGGGAAAACTCTCTCTCTGTGTGTGTGTGTGTGTGTGTGTGTGTGTGTGTAGAGTTTGCCAGACAGAGAAGCAAGGCAGACTTTTGATTTTTACTTTCTTCCTCCCGTCTCTCTCTGTCTCCTTCCCCCTTTCTCTGCTTCTGTGTGTTTTCTCTGTCTTTTCCTGTTTACCCTCTCTCCCTATTTGTTTCTCTCTGTTCTGTTTGGCTCATTGTCTTTCTCCTTGCCTCTCACACCCATGACTGTCTAATTTCTCTTTTCTTCTCCCTCCCTCCCGCATCTTGGTCTCCTCCTACCTGTGTCTCTCTCCCCTGCCTCTCTGTGTGTCTTCTTTTTAACCTCACTTTCTCCTGTGTCTCCCTGTTTGCTGTCCCTGTCGTCTGTCTCTGTCCTGTTCCCTTCCTGCAGATGAGGATGCCAGTGGCTCTGGAGGGGGTCAACACTACGCCGATGACTGGATGGCTGGGACAGCAGCTGTGGCCCCCCCAGCCAGGCCCCCTCGCCCTCCTCGAAGGGACAGCCCTGGGGGCAAAGGAGGTGGTGGTTCCCGTCACAGCCAGGGCAGAAGCAGGGGTGGGGGGACGCATACTGGTTTTCACACCCACCCGGTCCTCACCCTCTTCCTTTCAACCCTAGCTCTACTTGGAGCTCGATAACAGGGTTGGGGTACCCTAGCATCAGAAGGGTTAATGGCCTTTTCCCTCCTCCCACCTCTGCTGGGTCTGGGGAGGAATTGAAGGGGGGTTACAGAAAAGGTGGAGACTACAGGATAATGGCTGGGGCCCCACATTCAGGAGATTCCCATTGGTGGGCTGGGAAGGTGGTGTTCACACATTTTTTTTTCCCATTTGATAACAGTTTGGGGGTATTTATTTAGGAGAGGAAGTGTGGCCTCCATGCCCCTAAACCTGGGGCTGGTGGTCAGCCCAACAAGGAAGACAGGGAGGATTTTTAGAGTTGCAGTTGGGGGTGGGGTTTGAAGGACTGAGGTGAAACTGGGGCTGTGGGGGGGGGGTTGGAACTCAAATGGGGTGGGGTACCTGGTTTCAGAAATGGACAAGAACTGGGTGCTGATGGGGCGCAGGGGAGGGGATTGGGTTGTGTAAGATGCCAGGACCTATGGGTGTGGCTTCTGTTGACTTTTTCAGTATCAATTTCTTAAACTAAACTAAATAATAAAAAGGGCTCATCTCATGACCTCTGTCATCCATATCCTACCTGAACTTCCTGTCTTATGTCTCAGTGTTTGGCTCAGTGTTTCTTCTGCAAATAAATGGTTAATTTATTGGACTTTGTGTGTGGCTCTCTCTTTAACCCAGCAGCCCTCCCTGAACCTTATGACCTTCTCCAAGTGTTTCTGCTTCTCACCTCTTTTTGAGACTGTCCCTTGGGATTGAGTGTGGGCAAGTTGTCACCATCTGGGCCTCAGTGTCTTTATCTGTAAAATGGGGAGAATTGTGAGGCCCAAATAAAAATGGCATGAGGAAGTACTTTGTCACTGGAACAATTCTCTTTGAACAGGAGGCTTTCTGGTATTACCACACCACTGTTCCCTGCCTTCAGTGTAGGGCCCCTTGCTGTCTAGCTACCTGTCACATTCCTGATAATGCCTGCTTTCATCTCTCATCAGTCACTTTCTCCTTCCTTTCTGTCACCTGAATGAGTCTTTTGTTCTATAGTAAGCTGAGAGAAAAAAGTATAATTGATTCCTAAGTGCAAAAAGAGGGTAGAGGATGGTGTCTTCCAAGGGCAAACTGGGGTGCCCTGAAGGAGAGGGAGAGATGCAGGAGGGAGGGAGAGACGATCAAAGCTGAAGCAGCTGCAGGGACTGGCGGGACAAAGGGAGGGGAGGAGCCTACGCCTCGGAGAAAGTTTGTGGGGAAAGTTGAGCAGAGCAAGGAGGAGCCAGGCAGTGCCTGTGGTGGGCAGGAGGCCCGACCCCGATTTCCCTGCTGCTCCCCATGTGGCCTGGTGAGTGGGCTAGTGAGGTTGAGGCTGCGACTGGTGGAGAGGCCCTAGAATTTATGGGGGTAGATCTGGGAGTTCATGAAGACAACTCTGGAGGGGGGCAACAAAGGACGGGCATCAGGCTAAGTACTCAGCCAGGCTGGAGGAGCCTGACGGGGAGGAAATGCAGAAATCGGCATATTGGGTGGTGAGGTTGAAGGGGGTGGGTCATTGGGCAGCAAGCATGGGTCTGTCTGTCTGGGGTCACTCCTGGCTTAATCGGGAAGGAGACTGTCGGGTCTTGGAGGGGCTAGGCCTCTAACATTGTTGTAAAGTGCCATCGAGTTGGTTCTGACTCAGAGTGATGTTGTATACGGTTTCAGAGGAGTGGCTAGTGAATTTGAACTGCCGACCTTGCGGTCCAGTGCAATAGGATGTAATCTGAAGGGGCCAGGCTAGATTCCCCGCCAATTAGGAATTCAGGCCTGGGAAGAAACCCCTAAGTTTTGGTGTTTTCATCTTTGTCAGTTTATGTGTGTCTCCGAGTCAGTCTTTCTTTCTTTCCAACCCCACCCTCTCAGTCTCTTCTGATGGCGCTGCTTCCTAAGTAACCCCACGTCTCCCCCCAACCTTTCTCACACACTAGGGCCCTCATCAGCATCTAGTGCTGGAGCTCTTCCAGCGGGGGAGATGCCTGTGCTTATAAGGCTGATGCTTCCTCCTCATTAGAAAGCCCCCACCCCCCACCCCTTTAATCTTCCTCCCTACAGCCTAACCCTCCAAAACCAAACCCACTGCCTTTAAATTGATTCCCATTCAGAGTGACGCTGTCTGATCCGCATTCCCTCCATGTGGCTTCCCCTCCCAGCCTCTGAATGGGGCTCTTCATCTCCATTCCAAAGCCACAGGTCAAGGCTTGGGAGGAAGCCACAGGGGTCTGGCAATGCGCCCACGTCTGGGTGATCTGTTCTGCTGGGTTTTGGTTGTGATTCGGGTTTTTTTTCTCTCTTCCTGTTGAAATCCCTGAAGTTCAGAGGAACTAGGTGGGAGACTGGGGAACTGGATTGAGCTGAAGCTGAATTCAACTTCAGCTGCGTCGAGGAAGAAAGGGCTCTACCCCTCTCCTTGGACTCCTCTCCTCCCACCTCATTTCCCTTCTAGACGCTGACAGAGGCAAAAATCTGCTAACTCAGGGGGACAGACTCAACCAGGGCTGCAAGCAGGCCTGGGGAATGACCCCCAATCTCCAAACGGCGTCTTCAGCGGCTACGAGGCTACCTCAAGCCATCTTTGTCTTCGTTCCTCGCCCTTCTCTCTAGCATCACGTGGGCCACCTGGGCCCTCTTCCCAGGATAATGCGGCTCTGGCTCTGGGGGCCTCGGAGCCTGGGTGTGGCTCTGGGGGTCTTCATGACTATTGGATTCGCCCTACAGCTCTGGGGAGGCCCCTTCCAGAGAAGGTGAGTTTCCACTTTGTTCCACTTTCTATGGATGGCCCACATGCCACCAGGGGCTGGGGCTCTGGGTATTCTTGGAGACTCAGAGGGACAAGACAGAGGAGGCACCATGCCATCTGACCTTTCTCCATCAGGAGTCCATCCATCTGATGAGGAACGGGATCCTTCCCTTCCGATCTCTCTATAGGCTACCTGGAGTTGGGCTTCAACTTCGACAGCCCTGGGCCCCATCCCGGGATCCAAGTGTTCCATCTTGTCCACCCCGACAGCGACTTGTTTTTCTGAAGACGCATAAATCCGGGAGCAGCTCCGTGCTGAACCTGCTTCATCGCTACGGGGACCGGCATGGATTGCGATTTGCCCTCCCTACCCGCTACCAGTTCGGCTACCCAAGACTTTTCCAGGCCTCTAGGGTCAAAAATTACCACCCACAGGATGGAGGTGCCAAGTCTCCTTTCCACATTCTCTGTCACCACATGAGGTTCAACTTGAAAGAGGTGAGGGGCGTTAAGGAAGATAGGTGGGACTGGAGAGAGTTGGGCTCAATCTGTGGTCAAAACCACTAGGGGAGGAGGCCTGGGGGGCTGCCAAGCAGAGTTGGGCATGGGGCCCACAAAGGTGGAATTTCCTATTCCCTCTCCTCAAGTGTCCCTTTCCCCGTGGTCTTTTGGCACCAAGGTCTTGCTTTCTCCTACCTGGAGTTCACTCCAGTATCTTTCCACTACCAATGTGTTCCCCTGGTGTCAGTGTGGTTCCCTGCCAACGCTGACCCCCTAAACTCTCCTTGCCTTTCTTGGTCCTTCCACTGTCATCCTAAGGACCCCTGCTCAGCCACTGCCTTCCAACCTGTCTTCCTCCTTCCTCTCACACCCCTCACTAAGTCTACCAGATTTGGAAGATTAGTTATATGCTAAGCTTTAGGCTAGGCCCTGCAAAATTGTTCAGCAGAGGCCCATTCCTAACCCCTTCCCACCCCAAACGAAAACAAACCCATTGCTGGGGTCTATTCCAGCTCATAGCAACCCTATGGGACAGAATAGAACTGCCACTAGGATTTCCAAGGCTGTAAATCTTTATGGAAGCAGATTGCCACATCTTTCTCCTGAAGAGTGGGTTCAAATCACTGACCTTTTGATTACTAGCCGGTTGTATAATCAATCAGTGCACCACCAGAGCTCCCCTGGCCCTCCCAGGAACCTCATTTATAGTGGGGGAAATGAATGTATGCATTCACATATGTACACACAGAGGAACCTACAATAAGAAAGTCTGATGGTAGTGGTGGTGTGCAAAGAAGTTGGTTCTGACTGATGGCGACCGTGTACAGGGTTTCCGACGCTGTGAGTCTTTCTGGAAGCAGAAAACGACATCTTTCTCTTACAGAACAGTTGGTAGTTTCAAACTGCCTTTAAATTAGCAGTCCAACTCGTAACCACTACACTACCAAGCTCTTTAAGAAAGTTTTACAGAGAAGAAAATCAACTTGTAAATGAAAACCAACCTTTTTGAATACTTAATGAAGACTGGCTACTAATCTTAGGATCACCTTAAAAGGAAGGCATTATAAGTGTCTCCATTATACAGATGCAAGGTCAGCTGTTCGAAACTACCAGCTGTTCCGCGGGAGTAAGATGAGGCTTTCTGCTCCTGTAAAGATTTGCAGCCTCAGAAACCCTGTACAGGGTCGCTATGAGTCGGAACTGACTCCACGGCACATAACCACCAACCAACCACCCATTATACAGATAGGAGATGGAGTCTTAGAGAAGTGAAGTGATTTGCCTCAGTTAGCTGACAGAGTGGTAGAGCTAGAGTTTGAGTACAGGTTCACCTATTCAAAGTAAAAGCACTCTTCCCATTACATCATCAAAGTATTGGGCAGGTGTGTGTGTGTGTGTGTGTGTGTGTGCCTGTACTTGAAGTTGTGGTTGTAGAGCTTTCAGTAGAAGAGGTGTGACTTTCTAGAAAGATAGGTTTTCTAGTTCACACTCCTATCTAAAGCCAGTTTGCTCTTGTGAAGCATTTGCCTCCAACAGGGACTCAAGGATTTCTTTTCTGGTTCCACTATCTTTTTAGTTGACCCAGGTGCTGTCCAACTCATGGCAACCACATGAGTAGGACTGTGCTCCATAGGGTTTTTAATGGCTGAAATTTTGAAAGCAGGAGATTTCGGATGCCAAATGCTAGGTCTTTCTTCTAAAGTGCCGCTGGGTGGACTTGGACTGTGGAAGGTGAGTAGACGGGACGTTGCAATAAGGAGAAAATCAGGCAGAGTCAGCAGTGACATGGCAGAACATGTGTGTGTGAGGGAGGGAAGGAGTGTGTGGGTGGTAGAACAAGTTTAGCAGGAATGATAAAGACACGCTGGGGTGTTCGAAGCTGGAGCTAGAGAAAGTGATGGTTTTGATGGTAGACTGAGGGGCACGAGTGTGTGAGTGAGCTCATGGGCAGTGAGGGGCCACTGTGGAGAGTCAAGTGATGAAAATTATCTTTGAAGGCAGTTTCTCCAGAGGTTAGGCTAATAACCTTTGTTGCCACCATTGTTCATTGAATACCTACCATGTCCCATGCCCTTTCACATTTGCCAATGAAAATGTCCATCCAGATTTATAGATGGGGAAACAAAGGCTCTGAAAAGTTCAGTAACCTGCTCAAAATGACACATCAGTAAATGGCAGTTGGGATTTTATTCCAGGTCCATCTGACCCTACAGATTGTTATCCCTTCTCCTCCCTCTTTGCTGCCAATGGCACCTTCAAGAGGCCTAACGCCAGTTCCTATCTTACAGATGTGGTCAAGAGTTTCAGAGTAGGTATTTAATAGTTTTTTTTTGTTTTTGTTTTTGTTTTATTGAAGAAATGAATACAAACTTTGGCTCTTAGCAGTTTTACTGCTCAAGGCAGACAGAAAGACCCAAGGACATGAATGTTCACTTGAAGAAACTTATACTCCAAATTCTTTTACATCCTTTATCTCATGTAACATTCACAACCACCTGGAGAGGAAGGTGTGCTTAGCATCAATTTGCAGAGAAGCAAATGATGCCTCAGAGTTGTTGAGTAGCTTGTTGCAGCTAGGGAGAGAGAGTTTGGGGGCTGGAGTCCCAGCAGAACTGTCAAAAGGATTGAGAAGGCGGGGGATCGATCAGTTGGCACTTCATTCGTGCTGTTTCTCCTGACTCAGGTCTTTCACTATTTGTCTGCTTCCTCTTCTTTGCAGGTACTCCAGGTCATGCCTTCTGACAGTTTCTTCTTTTCCATCGTCCGAGATCCAGCAGCTCTGGCCCACTCTGCCTTTTCCTACTATAAATCCACTTCATCGGCCTTCCGCAAAGCTCCCTCCTTGGCTGCCTTTTTGGCTAATCCTCGAGCCTTCTATCGGCTTGGGGCTCGTGGGGACCACTATGCCCGCAATTTGCTGTGGTTTGACTTTGGCCTCCCCTCCCCACCAGATATGAGGACCAAGAGAAAGACTCCTCATCCCCCCAGAGTTTCCAATTCTCCACAGCTGCATGTCCCACCTTCTGGTGCCGGCCCACGAGTCCACACTCTGGATCCCAACGCTATCTTTCAACCTGCTCCCACGGTTGCCATTGGTCACAGTCAGATGTCCAACCCTGCCTCTTTAGATTTGGAATCTTCGTCCTTCATCCAGTGGGGTCTGGCTTGGCTAGACTCTGTCTTTGACCTGGTTTTGGTGGCTGAATACTTTGATGAATCACTGGTCCTGCTGGCAGATGCCTTGTGCTGGGGTCTAGATGATGTGGTGGGCTTCATGCACAACGCCCAGGCTGGAGGTGAGCGGGGCCTCAGTGCTGTCAGGGGAGGTAGACTGACCCATGAGGAGCAGCAGCTGGCTGCACGAGCTCGTGCCTGGAACAACCTGGACTGGGCTCTGTATATTCATTTCAACCGCAGTCTGTGGACACGGATAGAGCAATATGGCCAGAGCCGGCTGGAGAGTGCTGTGGCAGAACTCCGGGCTCGGAGAGAGGCCATGGCTAAACATTGTTTGGTGGGGGGTGAGGCTCTGGACCCCAAGTACATCACTGACCATCGGCTCCGCCCCTTCCAGTTTGGGTCGGCCAAGGTTTTGGGCTATATACTTCGGAGTGGACTGAGCCCCGAGGACCAGGAGGAGTGTGAGCGCCTGGCTACCCCTGAGCTACAGTACAAGGACAAGCTGGATGCCAAGCAGTTCCCCCCCACAGTCTCCCTGTCCTCCCCATAGGCACGAGACTGCAGAAACAGGCTAAAGAGTAGTTAAGCTAAAGCTAAGCTAGAAGTAGAGCGCATGTGATCATTTGGGGCAGTCAGATGCGATTTGCTTCCCACAGAAGGATGTCTGTCCCCTAGACGACGAAAGGAACTCTGTCCTGATGCTTTAGACCTTTGCTTTGGAATTCCAGTCCTTGTGTTCTCAGCAGTTCTCCTCCCTGCCTCCCCAGCCATTATTTTGTTCCTTTCCTGTTTCAGACCCGTGGCAAGTCTGTGTAGCACTTTCTAAAACCCCTTAGAATGGTGACAGATGGAATGAACCAGAGAAAGTTTGGTTTGGAATAATGCGTCCATTTCCCTGTAAAATATCTGTTACTGGGCTGTTCCTTTCATTATGAAATGTTTGTTGAATGAATAAATAATCTGCAACTTTGACTTGATTTATGTGGGGTGGAAAGGAAAGGCTGGGAGATCTTCCTGGGAGAAGCAAGGCTGATGTGGGTTCTTTTAACATGGAACCACCCTCTTTCTCTTAAAAAAAAAAAAAAAAGATAAAGTCTGTTACCACTCCTAAATGCTTCTCTCTCTCTCTATTTTTTTTGTTGGGTACAGCGTGTTTGATTGATGGTACCTGAAAAGGCCCTTCCCTTCTCCACAGAAACTCTGTCCCATTCAGCTTGGGGATGACATTGCTCACAGCCTTGTCAGCACCAGTAGATGCAGAGATGATGTTCTGGGCAGCCCCTCAGTTGTTATTCCAGTTTCCCAGTCTTAAAGGTGGCAGCAATGGCATGGACTGTTGTCATAAGTCCTTCCGTGATGTCAAAGTAGTTATGGATGACCTTGGTCAAGGGACTCAAGCAGTTGACGGTGCAGGAGGCATCACTGGCACTTGATGGAGTTGCCAGGCTTCTTGTTCATGCACATCACACACATGGGACATTGGTAGGTGTGCAGATGGTTAGCCTTTTGGTACCACCCTTCAAGTGGACCCCACCTCCTCCAAAGTTGTGACGACACCAGTAGACTGCCCAACACACTCAGCACCCACATCACCCTCCTTGATAGTGGCTGGATCTTGCTTCTGGAAGATAGAGCTGGGCTTCCCATTGATGACAACCTTCCCGTTCTTAGCCTTGATAATGTCACTGAACTTGCTGCTAGTGCAACCTCCGCTTTGCCGGAGTTAAAAGCAGCCTGGTAACCAGGAGCACAACACAGTCAAATCGTTTATTCCGACCTTCACCATCGTGTCTCCGGGATGCGGCTGGCACCGTAGATGCAGCCGTGTGTCTGCAGAGCTAGAATTGCCTACCACCGCCGCCAGCCACCCCGCAGCCTCGGACTGCAGCCAGACTCCGCCCCTCTCCCCCACGGTCCAGTGACCCCTAGATTCGAGGCGTCAGAGGCCACACCCTCTCCTTTCCGCTTCCGGTCTTTCGCAAGTCATTCCATTCTGCACCCTAGTTACGGTCCCACTGGCTGGGTTCCGGGTTCGTTGTCCTGGTTCCCGGACTGGGCTGCTTTCTTGGGTCGCTCCGGCAGCACCCACTCGGGTGACGGACCCCAGTCGCCCTCCTCGGGCCTCCGGTGCCGGTCTACGGTGCTGGCCCACCTCGCCCCCTGCCCAGGCCCCGGCCGGCGCGGTCCATGGAGTCTCAGTGCGACTACTCGATGTATTTCCCGGCCGTGCCACTGCCGCCGCGCGCAGAGCTGGCAGGGGACCCGGGCCGGTACCGGGCGCTGCCCCGGCGGAACCATCTGTACCTGGGGGAGACTGTCCGCTTCCTGCTGGTGCTGCGCTGCCGGGGCGGCACGGGTTCCGGTGCCGGGGGCGGCCCAGGCTTGGGCTCCCGTGGGCCCTGGGCAGAGCTGGCAACCACCTTGGCTGCCCTGGCGTCGGTCAGCGCTGGAGGCGGGGCCCCCGGTGGCGGTGGCACCGGTGACCAGGATCCCGAACCTCCAGGGGGTGCAGGGGACCCTGGAGGTGGAGGCTTGTTCCGAGGCTGTAACCCCCTTCTCACCCATGGCCCGGGCCCTGCTACCTCAGGGGGAGCGACCACGGTGAGGAACTTGGGCTCACAGGGCACAGGGCGGAGGGGCGGGGTGCTAGGCTTCAGAGTCCCCGGGCTGCAGGCAGATGATGGATGAGGCAGGGGAGGGCTAAGAATCATTTATTGTGAATCTTGAAGGGTGGAAGGTAGGCTGCTGTTTGGACCTTTCCTGATCTGTTCTCCCCACTGTCACAACCTCAGCTGCCTGTGGAGGAACCCATTGTGTCCACAGATGAGGTCATTTTCCCACTGACTGTCTCACTGGACCGACTGCCTCCAGGGACACCCAAGGCCAAGGTAAGATTGGCAGGAGTGGAGCCGATGACCTAATTCAGACACCTTTCTAAGGCCCTGCTGTCTGTCTCTCCTGACTGAGGTCCTGTGTCCGTTGTACCCAGATTGTAGTGACCGTGTGGAAGCGGGAGGTTGAGGCACCAGAGGTCAGAGATCAAGGCTACCTGCGTTTGCTGCAGACCCGATCTCCTGGGGAGACCTTCCGGGGCGAGCAGAGTGCTTTCAAGGCCCAAGGTGGGGAGGAGAATGCAGAGGGGAAAGGAATTTGGGGGACAGGATGGACGGGTGCTACAGGAAAGTATCTGATCTGGGGAGAAGAGGAAGATTAGAACCGTGGTTGGTATCCAAGTCTGTGCCCAGACCACCATTTCTTCCCTTCACCCTTTCCCACAGTGAGCACCTTGCTGACCCTGCTGCCCCCTCCGGTTCTGAAATGCCGGCAATTCACTGTGGCTGGAAAACACCTGACTGTGCTCAAGGGTGAGGAGATTGGCCAGCTCCATTCTTAGGGAGCAGCGAGGGCTTTGGTTGGGAATGGGCCTAAATTCTCTGAACTTAGCTGGTTACTTCCCACAGTGCTGAACAGCTCCTCCCAGGAGGAAATCTCTATCTGGGATATCCGAATTCTCCCCAACTTCAATGCCAGCTATCTACCTGTCATGCCCGATGGCTCTGTGCTGCTAGTGGACAATGTCTGGTGAGGTCCTGGGGACGAGCTGGGCTGGAACTAGGGAGTGGAGAGCTTTGGCATGGAGGGATCATGCTATGTCCCCCTCTCTTTTGAACTAGTCATCAATCAGGGGAGGTCACCATGGGCTCCTTCTGCCGACTCCCTGGTACCTCCGGCTGCTTCCCTTGCCCGCTTAGTGCCCTGGAGGAACACAACTTCCTGTTTCAGCTGAGAGGGGGTGAGCAACCCCCTCCAGGAGCCAAGGAGGTAAGGAGAAAGGGCTGGCGTTAATTCAAAGAAAAAGGAGTGGGAGGGAATGAGGGGTTTGAGGACCAAAGAGGAGAGGACTGTAATACAGGTAACATTTCTCTGTCCCTTCCACCACAGGGTCTTGAAGTCCCCCTGATTGCTGTGGTTCAGTGGTCCACCCCGAAGCTGCCCTTTACCCAGAGCATCTACACCCACTACCGGTGAGTGTGTGGGAGCCCCTGCTAGGTACTGTCCTGTTCACGTCTGGTTTTCCGACACACTCCCTACTTCCTTCTCTCTTATTATTCCAGTCTGCCCAGCATCCGCCTGGACCGTCCTTGCTTTGTGATGACTGCTGCTTGCAAGTCTCCCATTCGGACTTACGAACGTTTCACTGTCACCTACACGCTGCTCAACAATCTTCAGGACTTCCTTGCTGTGAGGCTCGTGTGGACCCCGGAGCATGCACAGGCTGGTAGGTCAGCTGCCAGGCTGGCACCGTGTCTAAAGGGCACGGAGGGAAGGGAGGAAGTCCCAGGACAGTGGACCTGACCTCAGTGCCCCACTTCTACCTGGGTGGTCTCCATGCTGTCTATCACACAAGCAGCTGGGAGGCAGTGGGATTGCTGGGTTCCCGGCATGTTTGCTCTGTTTCTTCTATTTACTAGCTGTGTGACTTTGGGGAAACTACTTCACCTCTTCATCTGTGTTGTTAAGTGCTGTTGAGTTGGTTCTGACTCATAGTGACTCTCTATAGGGTTTATGAAGGAACTCAGGTAGCGTAGTAGTTATGAATTGGGTTGCTAATCTCATGATCAGCAGTTCGAAACTACCAGCAATTCCGTGGAATAAAGATGAGGCTTTCTACTCCTGTAAAGATTTACAGCCTCGGAAACGCTATGCAGGGTAGCTATGAGTTCGAACTGACTCCATGGCACATAACAACATTTCCAAGGCTATGCAGGGTAGCTATGAGTTCGAACTGACTCCATGGCACATAACAACATTTCCAAGGCTATGCAGGGTAGCTATGAGTTCGAACTGACTCCATGGCACATAACAACAACATTTCCAAGGCTGTAAATCTTTGAGGGAGCAGAAAGCCTCCTTCTTCACCCTCGGAGCAGCTGGTAGTCTTGAGCCACCAGCCTTGTGGGTAGCAGTCCAGCATTTACCCTACAGAGCCATCGTGCTCCCTCTTGATCTCAAAGACGAGAGAACGAATACCTCACGAGGCTGTCACGCAGGTCATCTAAGTTGATGGAAGTGGTTAGCACACAGAATTGCTATTGTTCCCTAGAAAAGGAGGCACAAGGTGAAGATTTACTCACTTCACTAGAGTGGTTTGGAGGATCCAGTGAGACCCATCTGAGGCACGTTGTGCAGAAGTGTTTACGGGTCTCTGTTTGTGTCCCACCCCCCAGGGAAGCAGCTGTGTGAGGAGGAACGGCGGGCTATGCAGGCAGCCCTGGACTCCATTGTGTGCCACACGCCCCTCAATAACCTTGGCTTTTCCCGAAAAGGCAGCGCACTTACCTTCAGTGTGGCCTTCCAGGCTCTCAGGACGGGGCTCTTTGAGGTGGGCTGTGTATGCATGCAGAATGCTGGCGTGTGGGGAATTGGAGACCTTAGTTTTTGTGGATGAAATATAACAGGGGTGGGAGAACTAAAAGGCCAAGCAGAGGAAGGTGGACTGTGGATCTTGTCAGTCCTGTCATGTGGGTGAGGTGATCTCAAAGGGAGTCTGAGCTGGCAGGCTGATCTGTGTCTTCACCCTCAGCTGAGCCAACACATGAAACTGAAGTTGCAGTTCACAGCCAGTGTGTCTCACCCTCCTCCTGAGGCACGGCCCCTCTCTCGCAAGAGCAGCCCCAGCAGCCCTGCAGTCCGGGACTTGGTGGAGAGGCACCAGGCTAGCCTGGGCCGCTCCCAGTCCTTCTCACACCAGCAGCCCTCCCGCAGCCACCTCATGAGGTATGGAAGCGGAAGGTGGCATGGCAGTGGGGATCAGAGACGGGCACCCGGTGTCTGACGGGCGCCCACACCCTCTGCCCTTTTCCCAGGTCAGGCAGCGTGATGGAGCGCAGAGCCATCACACCCCCTGTGGCCTCTCCTGTGGGCCGTCCCCTCTACCTGCCCCCGGACAAGGCTGTGCTTTCTTTGGACAAGATTGCCAAGCGGGAGTGCAAGGTCTTGGTGGTGGAGCCAGTCAAGTAGACCCCTGCCGGCTCCCCTCCTTACACTCTGAAATCTGAAGTCCCGGAGGATGCCCTCCCTCCCAGGCTGCTGCCTCCCTCTGTGGGTGAAGAGGTCCCACAGACCTGTCTGTGTCTACTGATGAGGAACCAGGGAAGAAGCTGTGAACTGGGTGGGTACGGCTGCTGCACAAGTCAACAGTATTCCTCTCCCCCCTCAGTTCCTGTGTGATGGGGGGGCTGGACCCACCCCTAGACCAGGGCAGAGGCTCTAAGAGCTTCCTTAGCCTGCATCCCTTCGATGTTTACAAAGTGTTTTCCTCATTCCGCTTGTCTTTTCCACCTTGAACATTCCCTCCCACCCAGCTGCAGGACTGAGCTGAAGAGGGTGGTGATGGTAGATGCCCCCCCCCGCCCCCACAACAATGACCTTTCTGTCTTAGGGGCTGGGGAGATAGCTAGGTGACCTCCACCCGCTCCTCAAGTTTACGTTTGCAGCCCGAAGCACTTTATGTTGTGTGTGTGTTTATTTTTTTGTCTGTCCTGTAAATTATTCTCCATCTACTGCTTCCAATGGAAATCAGACTATTAAATGCCTGCCCAGGAGGGAGAAGAAACACTGTTGTTTGTGTGTTGGTGGAGGGAGCAGAGGAGACAAGAGTGGGCAGTCTCAGAATCATTTGCTTTAGTATCTGTACCGAGTAGCAGCCCTCAGTTTCCTTCCTTTCCCGCCCCGCCCCTCTGGGTACACAGCTTTCTCCCCAGAAGGCAGACACATTCCCAGGCCTGGGCACAGCAGGGTTATGTTTATTGGAGGAGAGGAAGGCGGGAAAGCAGAGGGGGTCACCCTCACTCTCCTTAACATTGCACTAAGTCCCCAGGCCTTTGCCCCTCCAGGTTGGTGGGAATTGGGTGAGCAGAGGCTGAAGGTCCAGCTGGAAGCCAAGGAGGTGGGAACCCTGCTGTCTTCCTCACAAGCAGCTCTAGGCCCAATCCACTGTCTCTGACCTTCCCCTTCAGCAGTTCAGATGTCAATGGGCTCCCGGCTTCGGTTCTGCCTCTTCACCACAAACACTCTCTGTCCTGACACGGTCACCAGCAGAGTGTGTTCTCCAAAGACGACTGGAGAAAAGAAGGCCCTTACCCAACCCCAGGCAAGGAAAGGGAGCACAGAATTAGTGATGTGATGACCTCCATGGGGTCAAAACTGTAAAAGCCAAAGAAATCTTTCTCAGGAGATCGAGGCCTCTGAGTCCTCTTCTTTTTTATACTCAGTTCTGATCCCGGGAGGGGGAACCCTAAGGGGAAGTACTAGGGACCCCAGGAGGAGTTGGTCTTTTTGTTCCTGAGAAGAGTCAGCCTTTGAGAGAAATCTCCCTCCCCCATGACTACCAGAGGCTGGGACTAAGTAAGGCTCACCAGAAAGGCGTTTGAAGGGCACGTTCATGCCATGGTGCAGCCGGAAACCACATGCGGTGCTGACCAGCTCAGAAATGGCGCTGGCGGCCTGTTCATCATTTTCTAGATCCCCAGATGACTGTACAAGGAAGCAGAAAGCAGGGAAGAGAAGTGCAAGGAATTCCAGTCAAACAGCCAGTTTGCCTGTAGTATTTACAACCTCTCCCTCTCCGTTTCCAAAATCCGTTAAGTTGCCCAAGTTTTGGAAAAACAAACCTAAAACCTTCCTTGTGTCACCTGATTTCTCATAACATTAGACTTGTTCTCGGTGATGTGCATCCATCTCTTGACTATTTTCCTAACTCCTTGACACTTGACTTTGTTCTCTGCTCCCAGCTATTTGATAAAGTCATTCTGCCAAACCAAAACCCACCCCTAAAAATGACCATGGGATTATTAAAAGCCCCTCCTTGGTCTTGAGCCACACCCTACTACCCAACTCTTGGTTCAGTGCAGTGACAGCAGCCCAGGGTTCCTCTTTTCTGGTGACAATCTCAACTTCCTCTTCCGCTTCCTTGATCAGGGCCTCCCACTAGGGTAAGTTAAGTGTGCTTTGCTCCCTTGGACATTCTGTACCTCAGTTTCCTCATTTATAAATTGGGGACAATAGAGTAAAAAAACCTCGTGAGGATTAAATATATTGGCAAGATGGTTGGGACAGTTCCTTCCAATTATTATTCCACATGTTGGAGAAAAATGTGGTTTTCCCTTCCCATAAAGATTTACAGCTTTGGAAACCTTACAGAGGGGTCGCTATGAGTCGGAACCAATTCGAAGGCACTAACAACTTTCTACATCAGACTTAATGTTCAAAGTGAAACCACTGGAACTCCCTCTAGTTTCTCATCAACTTTCTTGATTTCATGTTGGTTAAGGCACCATTCTAATAACTTTCTGAGTTTGAAGTCTTATTGGGTGGAGAAATATCTTCTTCACCAGTCAATCCTCTTAAATTTCTGGTTACCCCGCCCAGTCTCAGACCTAGCTTTCTGCAGCAGCTGCCCTCTAAACTCAGCACCTCCAGTCCAACTTCACACTACTAACAAGTTTTGCTAAGCCATTCCAAAGCTTTCAATAGTTCCCAATTACCTTCAAGATTAAATCCAGATGTGTGAACCTGGCTTTGAAAGCCCTTCACAATCTGATCCTTTCTTTACAACAGCCTCTTGCTGGTGTCACCCTGCTGCAAATAAGGCCATGTCCCAGCCCCAAATAAACTCTTCTTCACAATCACCCATCCATTAAAGCCTCACTGGATTTTCACCTCCAGGAAAGTTTCCTTGCCATAACACAAGTTAATACATAACGAAAGTTGATTCCTTTAATAGTCTTTACCAGTCAATGTTGCTTTCAGTTTTTAACCATTTACACCTTGTTAAGCACTGGACTCCTCAGAAGCCCAATACAGAGTGGCTGAGTCAAAACAGACTCTATGGCACTTAACAAAAGCTAGATTGAGAACTTGTAGAGAGCCAACATTCTATTGTACTCTGGAACAAAATACAAAACCTCTTCAACAAATATCAAACAAAAGACCTACCTGAAAAGTATCACTTATCACCTAACTTCCGCCATCAGTGGGTTCTCACTCATAAAGGGTTTCAGTGGAGTTTGAACCACTAACCTTGCAGTTGAGTATTTATCCTACAGTTCCACACCAGGACATTACTAGAATTGATGATAAGCCTTTAGTCTCAGGCTTACTTGTTAAGCACCATCGAGTTGGTTCTGACTCATAGTGGCCCCTGTACAGGATTTCCGAGGATCCACTGGTGGGTTTGAACTGCCAACCTTACGGTTGCAGTGTGCAGTCCAGTGCTGATCCTACAGCGCCACACCCGAAGTCCAGGCAAGTTATGTGGTGGTGGTGATGGTGTGCCTTGGAGTCTGTCAATCTTTATGAGAGCTGAAAGCCTCATCTTTTTACCGCTGAACGGTTGGTAGTTTTGAACCCCTGACCCGTAACAACTATACTACCAAAGAATAGAGACAAACTATGGCATAATGGCCATGTGTTCATAGAGGATCCCGTTCCCTTTCCCAGAACGCACCGCCAGCACTGCGCCTTCACTCAGCACCAAGTAGCCCAGCTGGTCTGGGATTCGCTCCAGCCCCTGGGTCAGTGCAGAAGTCTAAAGGATCAAGGGGCAGTCAGTGAGAAGCATGCTTGGAAGGTGGCTTTTCAGACCCATCACGTGCAAAACCAAGTCCCTCTCCTGATGACAGTTCCCCAGGCCTTCTCTTTTCCTTTCCAGGCCTCCATCTGTGCTGTCTCTCTCTGCCCATGGGTACTATCCGCCTCCCACATCCGACCTGTTACCCCAGACAGCTCACACATCAGACTTCCCTTCCAACTTCCGGCAGACTACTCCCCGGCCTTGAACCCCCTTTCATCCTCCTATTCAGCCCTCTATATTGTCACCTCCCCCCAACTCCCGCTCCATCTTCACTCCCTCTCGATCCCGGGGTGGTTTGGGGTGAAGGCGGCCTGCAGGCCCAGTAAGGGGCAACCAGGAATGTTGGGCAACAGAAACGTTGAACCCCCGGCGTGTGCTCCCGCGCATGCGTCTTTACTTACCATCGCAAGTTTTAGGTATTGGGAGCGCTCCCTACCACAGGCAGCTTCCGACTCCAGGTCCAGATCACGTGATTCCAGGGGCGGGCTCTTGTTCCCTCCAGCACGCGGATTGGACCATCAGACGAAATCTGCCAGTGAGGTGCACCGTTTCGCGAAGACGCACTCGGATTGGTCACGTCCCCTTTCTAACGCCCATATCCCCGCCCCTCAGAGCTCTGTAGCGAGGTGGAGGGGCGGGGACTAACCCTGAAAGAGGTGTGGTGGGAGGGGTGCGAGGGTGGGAGGGGTGCGAGGGGTGGGAGGGGTGCGAGGGTGGGAGGGATGGGGCGTTGGGGATTTGCTCTTGCGCATGAGGGAGGGCTAGTTGACTCTGTCTCCCTAAGCGAAACACTTTTTGAGGTTTCAGACTTCTCCATCCTAAATCAAGAGAATAATATGAAATAATGCTTGTGAAGGGAGCGCTATGGCTCCATAGGACAAGTACTGGACTGCGAACCGTAAGGTCGGTGGTTCACGCACACCAACCGCTCCGCGGGAAAAAGATGAGATTTCCTGCTCCAGCAAAAAAACTAAGAGCCTCTAGAACCCTATACAGGGTTTGAACCGACTCTACAGCACTTACCAACAGTGCTTGTGGAAAGCTATCAGAAATGTTGCTTTTACACCTACTCATCAACAACCTTGTTGAATTACTCCCATTTTGCTGATCAGAAGTTAGAAACCCAAAGAGTCAGCTTTGCTCATGGGCACACCTGGCAAGTGGCGGGACCAAGTTTCAGCCAAACTTTCCTCTTGTTGAGATGACGATTTTTTTTCGATGCTCCGTGGGCAAACAGCACTTAGTTTTACCTCAGAACCTCCCACTATCATTTTTCTTGTCACAGAGGAACGCTTAGCAATTCAAATGTTCGTCAGTCATCATCAGGATTGGTTCATTATCACAGACAGCTCCGACCACACTGCTCCAGTAATTCCCGAGTTCCCTAGAGCTGCTGTAACAGAAATCCTACAAGTAGATGGCTTTAACATATTTATTCTCTCACAGCTTGGTGATGTGCCATGGAGCGACCCTGTACAGGGTTTCCAAGGCTGTAAATCTTTACGGGAGCATCTTTCTCCCGCGGAATAGCTGGTAGTTTCGAACTTCCCACTTTGCGGGTCGCAGCCTGATTCGTAACCACTACGCTACCAGAGCTCCTTCTCTCACAGAGTCTTGTTTTTAAGTGCCTTCGAGTTGATTCCGACCCATAACGACCCTGTATAGGGTTTCCAAGGAGTCTCTGGTGAGCTTGAACCACCAACCTTGCAGTTCAGATGACTTTGCAGTCTGACGCATTAGCCCACTGCACCACAGCAGGACTCCTCTCTCACATCTTGTTGTTGTTGTTAAGTGCTGGCGAGTCGGTTCAGACCCATAGCGACCCTATGTAGGGTTTCCGAGGAGCTGCTGGTGAGCCTGAACCGCCAAACTTGCAGAGCCACCAAATCTAGGGGAAGGCTTTCGCTCTATGTTTGCTCTAGAGGAAAGTCCTTGTCTCTTTCAACATCTGTAGGCCCAGCATTCCTTGAATGTGTCTTGGCATCAATCTGGTCCTGGGTCTAGGAAGTTCTCAACACAGGCACCCTCGGTCCAAAGAATGCACTTTGCTCTTGGCTTTTTCTGGGATGATGCTGAGGCCCTCTTTCTCTGCTTGCTTTTCTCTCCTTTAATCTCTTGTAAGAGAACAGGAGATGCAGGCCCCACCCCAGGGAAACTCTCCTTACATTGGATGGGGGCTGTGACCTGAGGTGGGGTGTTGCATCCCACCCTAATCCTTTTACAATGTAATGATTGATCTCATCATTACACAACTGCCAAATCACTGAAAATCATGGTCCAGCCAAGTTGTCAGGTATTTTGTGGGGACACACTTCAATCCATAAGAAGTAGAAAGCAAAGTTTCTCATTTCTTCATTCAACAAATGTTTACTGAGCTAGAGAAATAAGAACCATGACACAAATAGATACATGCACACTTACGTTCCTCACAGCATTATTCACAATAGAAAAAAAATAACGGAAACAACCCAAGTGCTCAGCAACGGATGAATGGATCAACTGTGGTGCACACACACAATAGAATACTACACAACATAAAGAATAATGGCGACCCCATGAGGCATCTCACAACATAGATGAACCTGAAGGATGCTACATGAAGTAAGTCAATTATAAAAGGACATATTGTAGGCGACCACATTATAAAACATCAGTAAAAGGTTTATGGACAGGTAGAAACATTTTTTGATGGTTACTAGGGATGGGAGGGGAAATCACTAATTAGATTTATTGTTGTTAGGTACCTGGGAGTCTATTCTAACTCATAGCAACAGAACAAAACGCTGTCAAGTCCTACGCTGTCCTCATAACTGTTGTGATGTTTGAGTCCATTGCTGTTGCCACTGTGCCAATACATCTTGTTGGGGTCTTCCTCTTTTTCACTGACCTTCCACTTTACCAAGCATGATGTCCTTCTCTAAGGACTAGTCCCTCCTGGTAATATGTCCAAAGTGTAAGAGATGAAATCACCATCCTGGCTTCTAAGGGACGTCGTGGCTGTACTTCTTCCAATCCAGATGTGTTTGTTCTTCTGGCAGTCCATGGTATTTTAACAGTCTTCTCCAACGCTGGAACCCAAATGCATCAATTCTTCTGCAGTCTTTCTTTTTTCATTGTCCAACTTTCACATGCTACCCAAAATACCATGGCTTGGGTCAGGTACACCTTAGTTCTCAAACTGATATCTAAGTAGATAGTTGTTGTTGTTGTTAGGTGCCATCGAGTTGGTACCGACTCATAGCAACTTTATGCACAGCAGAACGAAACACTGCCCGATCCTGGGACAACCTCACTACTGTTGTCACGCTTGAGTCCATCGATGCTGCCACTTGGCCATCCATCTCATTGGGGGTCTTCCTCTTTTTCTCGGACCCTCCACCTTACCAAACATGATATCCTTCTCCAGCAACTGGTCCCTACTGTCCAGCTTTCACATGCGTATGAGGTTATTGAAAATACCATCAAGTAAATAGTTGTTGTTGTTGTTGTTAAGTATTGTGGAGCTTTATTTTATATACAAAGGTAGAGTAGTGGTTACGAATCGGGCTGCAAAACTTAGGGTCAGCAGTTCAAAACTACCAGCTGTTCCGTGGGAGAAAGATGAGGTTTTTCTGCTCTGGTAAATATTTATAGCTTCGGAAACCCTATACAGGGTCGCTATGAGACGGAACTGACTCTGCGATACATAATCACCAGAGTCCTGGTGTGGTGCTGTGGACTAATGCATGAGACTGCAAAGTCATTTAAACTGCAAGGTTGGTGGTTCAAGCTCACCAGCCGCTCCTTAGAAACCCTATAAAGGGTTGCTATGGGTCAGAATCGACTCGACGGCACTTCACAACAACAAAATTATATATACAATCTCACAATAGCAGTAATACCAAACAATTTACAAGTGGATGCACATATAGATGTGTAAGTCGAACAGATATGAGATGGTGTATGCGAGTCCACCCACCAGCATATATAGGTTTGGCAGAGGTTATTTCTACATACGTATTGGTATGTGCTGCAAATATACCCAGGAATACAGAAATGCTTGTTGTGTTAGGTGCCATCTAGTCAGTTTCGACTCACAGTGACCCCATGCATAACAGAACAAAACACTGCTTAGTCCTGGGCCATCCTCACAACATCCATCTGACATCCGCAATAATAATCCCTTGTTCCACATCCTTTTCTGAATCTGGCTTGAATTTCTGGCAGTTCCCTATTGATGATGTACTATTGCAACTGTTTGTGAATTATCTTCAGTAAACTTTTAGTTACATGTGATATTAATGATATTGTTCAATGATTTCCACATTCTTTGGGATCGGCACAGATATGATCTCTTCCAATAACTTGGCCAGTAGCTGTTTTCCAAATTTCTTGCATAGATGAGTAAGCACCTCCATTGTTGTACAGAAGAGCATGCTGTTGTTGTTAACTGCCATCTAGTTGGTTCTGATTCATAGCGACCCTGTATAGGGTTTCTGAGGAGGAGTTGGTGAGCTTGAACCAATGGAAAAACGTAGAAAATCAAATTTATGGAAACTTCTTAGCCAGAAGTCAGTGTAATACTGCTGACTTGTTCCGTGTTCTCTGGCCAAGAGAGTACAAAGACAATCTGATACACTCAGTATCTCTCAAAGCACAGCCAACCTCAATTCCTCAAGTATAGCAATATATGAAAACAATGAATAAGAAGCAAAAGCAAGGTTCCAAAATTGTGAAATAATTTACACACATTTAACAAATGAATGCTTTTAGCACAGAGACATTACAAAGCTAAATAACTTTGGTAGTCATATACTTATCATTGTGTTAAGTGCCGTTGAGTCGGTTCCGACCCATAGTGACCCTGTACAGGGTTTCCGAGGGTGTAAATCTTTACGGGAGTAGAAAGCCTCATCTTTCTCCCGCGGAGCGGCTGGTAGTTTCGAACCACTGACCTTAAGGTTCGCAGCCCGATTCGTAACCACTACGCTACCAGAGCTCCTTATCATAGGATAGGGTTTATAAAGTTAATCTACAGGGCTGATTGCTTTAACAAGGCATCGGGTTCGAATGTAAACTGAAATCTTGGATGAAGACTTTTGTGGGTGTGTCTCTGGGTAAATATATAACCAACTACCTTTAAAAGGAATGGTCAAAGTCTATATTTGAGGCTTTTTGTACATGTGAGAGCCAGGCCGAAGTTTCTACGCCCTAGGATAGGCCCCAGATGTAGTGTTGTTGTTAAGTGCCATCGAGTAGGTTCTGACTCACAGCGAACTTGTATAGGAATTCTGATAAGTGGCTGATGGTTTTGAACCGCTGTGATTAGCAGTCCAGAATTTATCCCAAAGAACACTATAATTTCTAGTTACTTTGTTGAATCTGAAGAGGGAGGTCTCAGGCAGAAT